TGCACTCAGATCTGTTTTGTCAGGCATGTGACCAAGGTTTCCCTCTGGTCCTGGGTGCAGTGGCTTAGACTAATCCCATGGAAACTGTTTTCCCTTTTTTAATAGCTCTTGCAGACACATCCATCAATATTTCAGCCTCTACTTTTTTTTCCCCTAGACCTTCTAAAGTCCAGGGCCATGCATTATGTGGAATTATTTATGGATCTAATGTCAGTAACAGCCTGTTAATATCTGTGCCACTTTTCCGAAGATTGCTTTAAAGTGATCTGGGGGCCAGGGCAATTGCTGGCAACCCGACAGACAGCCCTGCTCCTTTCCCAGGGCCTCCCATTTCCTCGGCACCAGAGGAAGATTAGAAGCATCCAGCAATGCCGTACTCGGGAAGTTATCAATAAACTGATGATTAAAGACTGGCACTTCTCAGCCACTGGTAAATAACACTAAGTAGCTGATGTCTGAGGTTCGCATTTACTGATATTATCAGCCAGTGGCAAAGGCCGTTCGTAGTAAGAGCCATTTGTTGCGTAGCACTGGGGAGCCATTAGGCCCAGTTGGGTGGTAGGCAGACAGCAAGGTCTGAATTCTTAGGCTCTGTCAGCTAGGAAATCCTCAATAATTCTGTGAGTTTTCACTGATTTGCACATCAGTGGATTCAGCCTGCAGCCTTTTATTCACTTATTTGTTAAGATGGTAATGATTTATGCAGTACTATGAGGCTATGAAAGATCTCCTGGCATAAGGAAGCAAAAGGGGAGGAAAATTCTTAATTTCAAGTTACAGGTGACCTTTATTACTCATTTTGATAAGGGCTGGTAGGACAACATTTTGTTTTCTGGTCAGTAAAACCTGAATCAATTAGGACTGCTTCTTGCTGTGTAGAGCTTAAAGCATGTACTGTCTATGGTGTCATGTTTGAAGGGTTAGGTTTAGCCTATTTATTAGTTGTCTGGTGCCTCTGTGTCTGAAAATCTGAATGTGCTCCAATCTCCCCTCTCTGCCGGTCTTCCTTGTTAATGTCTCCCAAATCTATAGCCCAAGGTCAGAGGATGCAGTAAATTCAGAATTGATTCGTTTGAGGTGATAGCAGTCATCGATAGCAGGCAAGAGAAACTTCTTTTCCATGCCCCATTGCCCTCTAATGGCCAGTGTTGAATCTGCACAGCAAAGTGGACAGTTCAGAGGGCCAGACAGAAAATGCTGAGGAAATTGGCCCGTTGTGATGGTGCAGCATGTGCCTTGCTTTCAAAAACCCCCCAAATCTGTTCACAGTGAGGATTGGTTTGGGGGTGCAAAGAGCAAAAGGTTTACTCTCTCTGGGTAGCACTGTCCCTCAGACTGATGGAGGGAGGGGAAAGAGGGATGAAAGAGGGTGGTAAATTCAGAGATCGAAAAGAAACAGGAAAAAAAGACATTTTTGTTTTCCCATGGAGTAAGGGGAGATGGAAGAGTGGAGTGATCACTCATACTAAAAAAACCTACCCCATAACCAGTAGTAAACTGCTTTGCTTTTGGGCTGGGAGCAAGGCAAGGGTCTAGCGTGTGGCTCCTGCACAGCAAATGCAAATTCAGGCAGCGTCACTTCACTGGCAGTGATGGCACTGCGCCGGAATCCCTTCTGTACCTTGCTGTACGGTGCCAGCAGGTGGGCTTGCTGCTCTGCTCTACCGTGGGTGTGGCAAGTCGTGCTGAGCAAGGGACCCTGAACCAGGAATAAGGGAACAGCTGGACCTGGATCAAACTATTGCAATTCAGTGAACAGTGTGAGACTACAGAGGGAAATGCATCTGGTGATGTCCTAGCCCTCTGGGGCTACGTGCTGCAGGCTCTTGACAACTGGAGTGCTGAAGATCATAGAATCATAGGATGCTTTAAGTTGGAAGGGTTGGAAGGGCCCTTCAGAGCCCACCCAGCCCAGCCCCTGCAGCGCCAGGGACAGCTTTAACCAGCCCAGGGTGCTCACAGCCCCGTCCAGCCTGGCCTGGGATGTTCCCAGGGATGGGGCTTCTACCTGTTCCAGTGCCTCCCCACCCTCACTGTAAAACATTTCTTCCTTATATCCAGTCTAAATCTATTCTTCTTTAGTTTAAATCCATTATTCCTTTTCCTGTCACAACAGGCCTTGCTAAAAAGCTTGCCCCCCGCCTTCCTGCAGCCCCTGTCAGCGCTGCCAGGCCGCACTCAGGCCTCCCCGCAGCCCCCTCCTCTCCAGGCTGAGCACCCCCAGCTCCCCCAGCCTGGCCCCGCAGCAGAGGGGCTCCGGCCCTCGGGGCATTTTTGTGGCCCTAAGATGTCTTCAGTTTTTTCTTGGGTTCACTTTCCTCTTGCAGTAGAGGCTTTTTAACAGTAGATGTCACGTTTGCATAACGGAACAAGAGATTGCACCTACAGACGAGCCCTGTTGTGCTCGGCCTGGCTGGAAGGACAGAACATGTGCTGCATCGTGGGAGATACTGTCACCTGTCCTGTGGGTGCTGGGGGCCAAGAAAAGCTGTAAAACATCAACTGCTATAGGTGTGTGCTCTTATGTATTTTTCTTAAGTTTCTGCTGCACGTCACTACTTCAGATGGATGCTCGGTCTCAGTACAGCACTCGCACTCTGCTTGGGTGCTGGAGTGCAGGCTTTGCTTTCTGAAAGTGTTCAGATATTAAGGAGGTTTGAGCCCATACAGGTCAGACAAAGTACGGGTTTTCTGCAGGAGAAAGTAAGCCCAAGCTCCATGGTTTGGGAGTTGAATCTTAGAAAGGTAATTAAGAAAAAGCAACTCTCTCTAGACTTCAGCTTGCTTCAAATCTCTATATCCTTGGAAAATTCTTGAGTGCTCACAGAATGGAAAAGGTTGGAAACCATGAAGAAACAGATTTTAAGGTGGCAGAAAAATTATGATGTAGTATCTTGTCAACCCTTATAAATTTAGTTCAGCTTTACTGGCTAACTTGGCAGGGTTTGGCAATACCAGGGAGTGAGCGAGCTGTTGTGGTGCTCAGTTGCTGGCTGGGGTTAAACCATGACACTGACTCAAATGAAAAAGCGATTATCCAAAGCGGAAGAAAGCTATGCTCTTCCACTAAAATCTATCCTAAAACAAAAAATCCACCTCACTCCTCAAACTGAAGACTGTAATTTCATCACATCTGTGTTTTGCAGAGCATACAGTACTTGATTGGCAACCTCAAAGCAAGCCTAGCCCAAAAGAAGAAACTGTTTGGGTTTTTTTTTTTTAATGCATTTCTGTATCAGAGACGACGGATCTGCGGTGTGCAGCTGTAGTAGCAGTCACTGTAAATAACAATGCTGAGCATTTGAAAAGTAACAGTACAGTTATGTGTCCAGTATCTGAACAAGATGACGTGGATCAGGATTCCAGCAGGTGTGAGCTGGTTTGCAAACTTGAGTAGAAGGTTTCAGGCCCTCCGAGGATCGCGCTTGTTTAAAAGTCCTAGTAGGCCCTGGTCAGAACCCAGTACAGGTAAAGGTTAGCATGCACAATGCTGGCCCGAGGCCCCAGATCTTGTTTTGGTAGTTTGGCAGCCACGTGGTTTTCTCTAGCAAAGCCACTATGCCCAAGGGCTGGAAACTGCCTTCCTGAGCCATGGTGTAATGGATCTGGATCTGCGTTCTGATTTTGATCCTGATCCAAACCCAAATCCAGTTTAAACTGGAACATCTATAAAATCTTGAGTACTTTGGGTCCAGGGCAATTTTGTTTCTCTTTTTTTTTTTTTTTATTCCCCCGGTAAAATTTTTGTTCCTTGAAAAACACTTCTGTGCGCTTTAACTTAAAAATATTGATGCCAACCACATGAATAATATCAGTGCCAACGGTAACAACAGCATCGGTGCCAGCACCCTCACAGTATTATTAACATCAATGCCAACAGTATCATGCCGATCTATGCCAGCAGGCCAATAGTGTCAACAACGCTGATGCCAACAGGCCAAGACGAATGAAGAACCCCTCAGTCGTAAACCAGTGCGCAAAGCCTCGCGCTGCGATGCTGTCCCACAATAACAAACCCCTGTGCCCAGCCTAGTTCTCATTAGCAACTTTACAATAACACACCCCGGCGCAGGAGCAATTAAATGAAAACACCAAGGTGTGTATATCCTGGAAGGGAGAAATACTCAGCTATTTCTGGAGCTGAGGGGCAAATGAAATCAATGATTAAGGATTTTGTTGACTGTGCTTTTCTGAATTTTTCTGTCCAAGTGCGATGGTGGCAGCTGGAGCTCTTTTTGAACTGGCACAGCCTGAGCTCTGGGAGCACTTGCAGGCAGCAAGTGGTTCGACTCCTGTGTGCTTTGCTTTTGAGCGTATCTCCCCTTCTACCTACTCAACAGAGGAATCTTGTTTAACAGGTAATCTAAGGATCAATGAGAGAATCCGATCCAAAAGGACCTTTCCAGAATCAAAGCGTTTCCAGCGTGTAATCTTACTATTCCAAGGCTAGTTCAGGCCTCGAGGACACAACATTTTCTCCAAAGGGTGGGAAGGATTTTTCTCTGTCCAGAGCTTGCAACTCGCAGGTGAAGAAGGAGGTCTGGTCTGTTGCTGCAGAGAGGGCTGGCAAAGATCCAGAAGTGTAGCCAGAAGTTGACAATTTACAAACATATAGTAGCCATACTTTCCCTGATCTTCTCAGGCCTGTGCCCAGAAAAGCAGTGAAGATGCAGGGCGTCCCAGTGCAGCCACACCTTGCGGTGGTGGCCTCGGAGTTAGGATGCGTTAAGCAGCTTTCATAACTTACTCCCAGTCTACACCTCAGTGCAAGTAGCGATTCTGCTTCATTTTCTTTTGGACAGTATCTTAATGTCATCACCAAAGAGTTCCTCTCTGTTTGAAACCCAAACTTTTTCTTTCAAAGCAGCTGTCAATCAGTTGTTCTTTAAAGAGAACAGGAAGACTGTCTTGGTTGCCGTTGCCAAAAGTGGAGGGATCAAGGGACAAACAAATTGTCCCTGCAAATTTCAGGTATGTTGATCGGCCCTACTTCAGAAGCATCATACTCTGGGATTAATTGGAGGTTTTAAAGCCTACATGAAAAAGAAAGAGTTAAACAAATCACAGTGTGCCCGGTGCAGTTTTAACAGATTACATCCTGAAAGAATTGCTGTTCGCATTTGAACTCAGATTACCTTTGGAGGAGGTGGAGGTTTGCCTTTGGGAACTGGGGGACGAACAGGTTTTCTCTCTGGTGCCTGTAACAAAAATGTAGTTTAAATGTCATTAGGCTTTCCTGAGAGCTCCTCAGGAGCTCAGCTGCTGCTACTGTTACCTCGTATATTTACTACAGTATTTTCCTAGTGGAAAAGCTAGGGGTGAATTAGATTAATCTGTCCGCACACAAGAAGGCACAATAATACAAATACACAAGGGGTATAGATCTCCCATTTCAGAAGGCCACTGAGCTATTCTCAATGTGTAAATTCATCTGTATCTCAAGTATCCATGCTCAAATAGACTGCTTAGGAAGCTAAAACTGATCGCGTGCTCAAGGTGCGTGTTGAGGAAAGCATCTCTAAAGACAGTGGGATTTAAATGTGGTTTTAAAATCAAGCTGATACGTGGAGGTTTTTTGTTGTATTTTATTATTTAGTCCTGATCCATCGTTCTTTATGCAGGTAGTACCATGCAATTAGGTTGCTAGTGTGAAGCTGGTTTCTACATCCTTGTATCAGGTGGGCAGGGGGCTCAAGAGCTGAGATGGTAAACATATGAGGGAGGCATTTTCATTTAAGTAGGATGCTTTGGGTTTATTAATGGCAAATACTCATATTCTTCTGGTTTCCAAATTTTTGTAAGAATTCAAAAGACACATATATATGCACATTGATGGAGATCCCCTCACAGGTGGCATCTTTAGAGACTACCAGTTCTCCACAACACAGGGACCATTGCAAACATCTGTAGTAGCAAAGATGCTCATCATTTGCATTGTGTTTACACCTGAAATCCCTGTTGGTTTGGACTCCAGGTACTATTGCTAATGGGATTTGCTTGTGATGGTGTACAGGACTCCTTCGCACAGATTAAGAGTATCTTGTGCAGTTTAGGATTACATGGCAAAAAAGGCGATTCCTACCCGAAAGAATATGTGGTTTGAATGTCTGTGACTTTTTTAATCATAGTCAGAAACTGAAAATACTAATTGGCAACTGATAGTCATTTGCAGCTCAGATGAAAGGTGTGAAAAGTTGCAGGGTTATACTTACAAAAATCTCTTCTGTGTGAGAAGAGGTTGGTTTGGTAGCAGGAACAGGAGGTGGGGGACCTTTTGGCCTTATGGCAGGCTGTGAAAGAAGAGAATATAAAACGTATTGACCTTGTATACATATTGCATGTATGTGCATTCCCATGTTCCCGTGGGAATGTGCAGGCTTGTGTTCTATATAAAAAAAATGCATTAATGGGGGGAAGAGGATGCATTCATTTCAGAAGCAGAGATGCTTTATGCCGTCTGGCCCTGAGAGAATATACAGGGCCTTATCTGGAGCGCAGCGATTTCCCCAGCCTTTGGAATCAGACTGTCATTGCGGTCCACCATGGCGTGAAATGGTAGGTAAGGTGCCCTTATCTTGAGCCCATCTTTTGTGCCCTTATCTTGAGCCCATCTTTGCGTGCCCCTAATAAGCTGCAGACAGATTACTCGGGGACTTAGTGCCATGAGCTTTCTCCACTCCCTCCTAATGCTGGGATTCACAGCACTGTCCTCTCAGCCCTAGACAAGCATTTTGAAGCCCTCTTGGAAATGTAGAGCACTTTGCCTGATGAGTTTTGGTGTTTCGACCCCTCGGTTACAGTCCCAGGGAGACTATAGCTGACCCGGTGCCTCCCCGCTCTTACCTTCTGGGCAGGGACCGCCAGGACAGGGTGTTCTCTCTGTTCTTGATCCACAAAGACTTGGTTTGTGGCTCCACGTCTTCTTCTGGTCCTGCAGCTATGCAAGTATTACATATTACTGTAAATCTTACCCTGACTGAAGTAAAAAAACCCGCTGAAGTTGAATGCCTGCTTTACTCCTATTGGTGTGTTACATAGCCATGTCCTTTCTTTCTTTCTTTCTTTCTCCTCCTTATTTTAATTATGTAGGATTAATCTTGAGAGCTACAGCTTCAAGTCTTAAGTCCTTTCCCAACTATGGGATTTCTGAAACAGCTCAACAAAGGTCATGGACCAACTTCCTTGGCTTTTCAGTGTCTAATTCCCTCCACCCCCTTTGAGAACCCCAGCATAAAACCTATCCAGGAGTTGCTTGGCTCTAGGTTTTGGGTTTTTTTTCCCTCAGTGGGGGTAGGCATTTTACCTCTTCTTGAATACTCGGAAGCGGAGAAGTAACACTGCTGCAATTGCTGCGATAGCGAGGACAACCAGCACGCCGGCAACAATAGCAAAGCCTGTCAGGGTGAGAGAACACAAGTTGCTATTTCTTAAAAGATCCACTATTACTAAGCGGTTTCCCCATCACAACTATTGGCAAAGTAATTTTTTTTCATGAGTTCTAGACCTCTTTGTCCTCACTATTGCTCAAGCTTATGGCTGCTTCTCCTGCCACAAATAGTGACGGAAAGGAGTGTATTCCTGCTATTCTTGCCGTATTTGAGACTGTGGTTATTGACTGAGCTGTCCTTGGGCTAAACAAACCTAGCCCTTTCTGTCCATCCTCAAAGACCATTTCATTGTCATTCCTCTCCTCTTTCTCAAACGGTGCTACCCAAAACTGGGCACAGGCCTTTGGCATTTGTCCTGGTTTTGGCTGGGATAGAGTTAATTTTCTTCCTAGTAGCTGGCATAGCGCTGTGTTTTGGATTTAGTAGGAGAATGATGTTGGTAACACAGTGATGGTTTAGTTGTTGCTAAATAGTGCTTACACTAAGTCAAGGACTTTTCAGCTTCCCATGCTCTACTGACTGAGAAGGCTGGAGATGCACAAGAAGCTGGGAGGGGGCACAGCCAGGACACCCAAACTGGCCAAAGCGCTGTTCCATACCATATGATGTCATGCTCAGTATAGAAACTAGGGGAAAGCTGGCCGGGGGGCTGCTGCTCGGGACCTGGCTGGGCAGCAGTTGGCAGGTGGTGAGCAATTGTGTCGTGCATCACTTATTTTGTATATTATTATTTTCCCTTCCTTTTCTGTCCTGTTAAACTGTCTTTGTCTCAACCCATGAATCTTACTTTTCCCCGCCTTGGGTTAAACCATGGCAGAATTGTATACAACTGAGGCTTCACAATTTTCCTTCAACAAAGCTATTTTAAAGCCTCAACCAAGTCACGATGTTGAGAGCTGATGATGCTCTAGGGAGTGTGGAGAGAGGACAAAAATATTTAGTAACAAAGGCTTAAATTTTTTTTCTCCCAAACACATGGAAATCTGTACAGAAAGTATTTTCCCTCAGAGGTAGATCAGTTAAAGGTGAGCTCCGTGCAGATGATAAAGAAATGAACTTGCCTACCTCCCTCTCAGCAAAACCTCTTGGAGGTTGCCTCCACTCAAATTTGACAGGGAGCTAATATGGTGTGCTCGTTATCTCAGGGTGGAGAAAGGAAAAGCCTGCTACTCTAAATAATCTCCGGGGTGTATCGCTTCTGTCAGGTTAGAAAGAAAAATAACTTGCTCTAGTTATTCATACAAGCTGCAGCGGCTTAAAGCTGCGCTGAAACCAGAGGCCTGGATGTGCAATACTTGCAAAGGAACGGTCTGGCGCCCAGGGCAAGTTGGGGCTGCGTCAGTGGCGTTAAAGCAGTACCCAGCGCGTGGCCATAGAGCGCTTACTGGTAAGTGCTGACGAGCTGCCGCAGGCTGGTGGTGCCCATCCTTCTTCACACTGGCACTGCAGCTCGTGGTCGCACACCTAAGGAAGCACAAAGCCATGAATGCCTTCAGGTTGGAAATATGAGCGAAGCTGCCATGTCAGAAAATTTCAGTGGCTCTGGGTCGGGGTCCTGGTAAGTTTATTGAAGCTAGGTCTGGAAACCCCCTCTCGTTCCACTTGGACCAAAATTTATCACAGAGGGGAGCAGTTTTGCTCAGTAAAGGACAGGCCTGACTGCTATTGTGTGCCTTTTGCAGGTGTTTCTGCAGTGAAAGCTATAGTGCAAGGCACAAAGCAGCAGAGTTGGTCTGTACATCTGTAGGTCTCTGAATGCTCAAATGAGACGAGCACAATTATCTTCCCAAAAGAGAAGATGACCTGAAAAAGAATGGCTGTGATGCTGTGGCTCAGAGGCAGGGCCAGACACGGAACCTTTGTCCATCTCCTGTGATCTCCTTAGCAAAAATATTGATGCTGTATTGGGTTGGATTTGCTTTCATAAAAATATAGGAAGCTTCTAACTCCACAACCTTTGCCTTTTGCAAATGCCTATCCCAATGACTCAAATACTGTCATCAATAAGGTCTGTAGCTGATACACATAATTTTCTTGTTTTTTTTTTAAGTTAGTAGCATCAAATGCTCATATCTTACAGCATGTCCAGTACACTTGGCAGAGCAGTTGGCTGATCTAAAGACATCTTCAGCATAAACACATTCTCCCTTGATGCACACCTGAAATGTACAGGGCGAATGTCACCAAAGTGATTTATAGCTTCCAGAACATGCAGAGCTTGCACATTATTGTATAAAGTGATGAAGAGTAGAAGGAGGCATAGAAACAGGTCTGCAAATCACTTAAACCTACATTAGGAGTTTGATATGCAGATATAATTTTTCAGTCGACCTTTGGGTATTTTATAGCAAAGGGGAGTGACAAAGATCTACAGACATCACTGCTTTCCACCCCTCTTCAATCCTTCATCCCCGCCCCTCCCAAGTAGAAATATATAGCAAAGAAATGAGACATAGCAGTCAGTGATGCCTAACACAACCATTATGGAAATAATTAAAAATAGTAATATATAATCTTCTAACCCTTCATACAAAGATATGTTTCTGCTGCCACGTAGATTTGTGTCACTGAAAAATAAGACAACAACGGTCAAGCATAAGGAAATCTGAACGAAAGCAGTTCCTGTTTGCTTTGCTACTGATTTGCTGTAGTTGTAAGGTGGAAGGTATGGCAAATAAAATCAGCAGAAGTTTAGTGTGCACTTCCCTGTTTAAAATCTTTCTTGTCTGCTAAAAGAGCTAATGATATAAGCAAGACTGAAAGAGTGGAAAAAATAAGGAGAGAAGCTTTTCTCTACTAACCATCCCATTCCCGCACTTCGTTCCATCGAGAATCATCCCATGGTCTATTTCTTCATTTCTGGGAAAACTTGCTTTGCAGGACCCAAAAGCCACCAGGCTCCCGTCCCGAGGCATCTCGTTCCCCCCCGTACAGTACAACTTTCCGCACATTTTATTTCTGGAAGGAGAACAAGAGCTGCTAGAACGACGATGTGGCACAGCAAAGCTATCTGAGCTGGTCTCTCCTCCAGCTGGAATTTGTTGCGTCCACACAGGAACTCAAAAGAAATAGCTGCAGAAGGGAATTTTGGATTGTGGAGGTCTCGGGTCGGTTTGAGAGTAGAAGGTGACAGGTTTTTAATTCCTCTTGAGCTTGTTAGGGAGCCCACAGTAATTTACAGAAATTAGTATTGAACTGACCTGTCCTCAACTTCTGAGGTTCACCTGAGGTTCAAGTTCCCGGTCCAAAAATCCCTTCCCTGCACGTGCATGCGCACACATGCAGTCATCTTCACAAGCAGCCTTGCACATACAGGTGCACACACTTGCTCTTTTGCAGACTGATCTCATGATTTGGAAACTAGTTTTCTCAGCATTGTCTTTACCACAATATTCAAACCAAACAAAAAGAAGGGACACGTGGACCTATGTGCCGCCTAAAATAGTGTGCTGTTTGCTTCTGTCTCTTAATTTGAATAGGAATGGTCTCTCTTCCCAAATCCCAGCAAATTCTGTAACACAGTGCTTACTTTTTTGTACACGGGACGTGACTACCTTTTTCTTTTCTGCAGTATCCATAATATGCCCCTTTCTCGTTCATGTGGTAACAGGAAGCTGCACCTTCAGTAGCCTCTGTGAAAGAGGAAAATGCAATGGGATTAGTTTAGGTTCTCTACCTGTGAAAACTAATAACGTTCGATTGCCTTTAACTGTTTAGGAAATGGCCTTTCCAAGTGAAGATACCCGTGGGCCTAAATGACTCTCTCTGGCACCTCATGCATTAATTCTGCAATGTTATTGTGCACACACAGCAGAACCTGTCCTGTGTGTTCTCCCTCTACCCGGTACAAACCAAATAGACCTTGCCTAAGAGAAGGGACATAGAAATTGAGATGGTTTGGGACTGGGAAGAGGGTAAGCAAGCCACCACACACCTTCAGAAACATAAAGGCATGCTACATTTGGACATTAATTTGAAATACGGACATTTCCTCTTCCTATCAAGCAAAGAATACTCACTTAGCTCCATTCCACAGTTACCTTAAAATCATTGTGCGAAAGAGGAATACGCTTACCACTTCCCATTTCTCTAGACATACATTGCATTGTATGCTCTGAGGTTCAGCTCACATTATAATCACTTACAGTATTAAATAGAAAAATAATAGTGTATGCTACAAACTAGAACTCATTTATATAGACATGCTGGTCCTGATTTACAAAAGATCTTTGATGATTTGCTAGCAGACAAAAGCTACGTTTGTCTCTCTCCTTTGACCTAGGCAACTGGATTTTTTTCAATGCCAACTTGTACTCACGTGGTCCGAAAGCAGCTTTGCACTGGTTTTCACGGGTGGGACAGTTTCCCATGTAGCAGTAGCCTTTGCCGTCGTTGCAGGGATATCCGTTCACACGGAATCGATCTGCTGGGCAATCCGCAGAAAAGCCTGTGCACATCTCAACCAGGTCACAGTCGTGCTTAACTGCTCGGCAAGTGGCTCCCGATTTTTTATACTGAAGTGGGGGGAAAGCAATGCCACAGTTAACACACCACTATTCCATGCCATTTAAAAATCACACTGAAGCAGAGGGCTAAAATTAGGGGAGACAAATCTCATCCTAACTGCACGAGTTGCGTGAGGGGCCAGGTCCGTGTCTAATGTGAAGTTGGTTATGTCAATGGACAAGATTTTTGCCTGGCTGTGCCTCGGCTTTTCTTTCCAGGAGAAAATGGGTAGTCAAAACGCTCATTTCTCCAGGATGTTGAAAGATTGAGTAAACTGATAGTTGTGGTGTAGTTTGGGATGGACAAAGTGCGCTTGTCATTACAGTGCTGTGTCACTAATTACAAGTAAAGAGGATTGGTTCTTTTGAAAGGTGTATTGCTGCTTTCTCATGGGCAAAAAAAAAAATATACCCCGGAAAATAAGAGAAGCTGGAGATTAAAAGGAGTCTTACTTTGCAGTTTTCACAGCACTCTCCGTGTGCACACATGGAACCTGCCGTCAGTTTGCACGTCTTGGGGTCACAGCAGTCATTTGTGCACTCCTGTGACAGAATCAGCAGTCAGAGCTCTGGTACACTGCTTCAGGGTTTGGCCCCCGCGGAACCGCCTTCTCCACGAACCATCCCGTACTTGGTTATCGAGGGAGGGGAGGACAGCTTGGACCTGCACTTTGCTTCTCTGAAAACCATTTGCCCTAGAAGCCATGCCAGCCGTTGTGAGTGAGTGCATAAAGAGTACAAAGTGTGATTAATTATGAAAATGCTGATAGAAGTTGTGGGGAACTCGCTTATTTCTTCTGAGATGGTTTTGTGTGTATGGCTCTTCACCATTCTCAGTTCCTCTGTCCACGCAGCATGACAAGCGCTGCAGTCGTCTTTCCCACCATTTAGCATGCCCTTCGTAGGGGTGTCTGCGCTGCAGATCAGCAATTTGCTGACCACAGTTTCTACAGAAATATTTCAGCTACCTTTGAACTGGCCACTTCAGAAACTAACAGAAATCAGCTACTGTACAGCCTGAACAAACCTCTTTGCCTCTTCCAAGTATTATTTTATTCCCGGTTATGCAGATACCTCAGGAGTACCGCAGTCGCATTGCTCTCCTTCTTCCACAAAGCCGTTTCCACAGGATGGAGGTGCTATGATGCTGCTTATGTCTGGGATGTTTGTCAAGCATTTTGGCATGTCATTCAACATGTATTTCTCGAAACTTTGGAGGCTGCAAGAGCTGAATTTCATGGGGACGATAGCACTATATTGAGAAAGCGGGAGGATTTGCGTTAGGATCGGCATAGGCAAGGAGAAGCAATACCCTTTACCAGAGAAAGGAAGGAAGTGACTGTGGCTAAAAAAAAAAAAAAAAGTGGAACAAACAGATCAGAAAAAAAATAATGTACTAAATGTAGACACTGCATATAATAAATCCCACATCTCAACGATTTAAGCCTGGTCTACACTATCTGTGCCTGGATGCTTCAGGCATTAGTTTTCCACTGGGCTGTTCAGCAGAGGCTCAGGGTGTTCAACCAGAGATGAAAATTGAACTAGGTTCCTGTCTAATGGGTGTTTAGTGAAGGTGCAAGCACTTTGTGCAGTTTTCACAGGAGACATCTTCAGCGTAGAGAACAAAAATATAGTTTAGGTAAATCTTGGGGAAGCTCTGTCATCGGAGGTACCACAGCAGTTTTGTTTTGTTGTCATTGTAAGGGAGAAATCATTTATGCTTTAATGTGGAGGCCCCCACCACATATGCAAAGCTAATGTTATCTGAAAGTGACCACAGCTTTGGGTTTTGGTTTGGGTTTTTTGTTTGGTTTGGGTTTTTTTTGGGGGGGGGGGCAGGGGCAGGCATGGTATCTTATCTGGGAATATCTTACAAGGGCTGGAATTTCTTCATTGTTCTCTTTTTCTTGTATAATTTGAATGGAATAATCTCAGAGAATAAAATTAATTACTACTCAGTTTTGGAAACTGGCAGTTTATTCAAATCCCATCCTTAGCTGCCCTGTGCATTAATGCCCTCGCCTTTTTATGCAAACTCTTACCTGACGGTATCTGTCATGATGCAGACTTTAGCACTACACGTGCAGGCATTGGTGTCGTGACTCATGCCCAGGTTGTGTCCCATCTCATGTGCCATGGTAGCCGCAACTGCAATTTCGTTTCTGTTGTGATCCTGTAGGGATAAGAACAGGCTGCTGTTTCCATCAGTATTTTAGAACAAGTAGGAACGTCAGAGAAGCCACGTGGCTAGAAATAGGACAATTTTCTTCAAGGAAAATTATCCTCGCTGCTACATAAGGATTGATACGTTGTTCAATCCATGCGTCTGTTCCACAGTTTATGCTGGATTATATATATAGCAATATTATATAGCAATGAGATGATACCACTAATGAACATGAGTAAATTGGTATAATTAGTTTTTAAATAAACATGAGGAACTTAGACTGCCAAGTAACAACTGAATGTCAAGGGCAACTGAACATCTGAAACTCTTAATCCTCTCTCTGGATAGCTGTCTCTGTGCTTAGGGTAATTACGTGGGTGCTGTATAATTATTACTCATTACACCAAGGTAACTGTTGTGTACAGCTCTATGTGTGCACAGAAAGGAAAGGCAGATGCTGTGCTCCATCTTGGCTCTTAGCTTGGTGTTTTGTGCGGCTTGGTGGGAGGGAGGAAAGGAAAAGTCCTGCTGTTGTGGGTGAAATCCGGATGTATAAGCAGCAGGGGTAGTGGAAATGCGTAAAGCACGAGACGCAGCGACTGGTCATGCTCTTCCAGCATGGCATTGCAAATCACGCTGCTACAAAATGCGTCCCCACGCCTTGAAAAGCATTCTGGTTTGATGATCATCCTAGGATTTCCTTATGGTGTGGGAAAGCTGGAATTTCATGTCGATCATTCCCCTTACCAACAAGCCCGGCCTCTGAAGCTGGGTGCAGCGGTTGAGTTCCCAGTGTTGTTGGTAAAGTTTTGGATCTGTGTTCCTGTTTAGGCTGAAGTTTAAGTACAGGAGTTTAGGCAGCTGTAATTAAGTGGCTAAACCGATGATACGCATTATGACAGTCAGAACCAATTCCCTGTTCAAAACGGGGAACCTTAAGGGAGAGGCACAAAATCACTTATTTGTCTCCTTTTGACTCTGTTGGGGCCTGGTACACCAAATACATGGCTCAGAGTTTGACGATGGCATTTGGATAACACAGATACCATGCTTTGTGTGTACTTTCTTTACCCTCTGCACTTCATTTAAAATAAATTCTGCGCTTCATTTAAAATAAATTCTCTGACTCTGAACTTCCACAGTCTAATAAAATAATGATGTCAGCCAGGCAGAAAACTGAAAGTGTGGTACACCCAATAATTTTCATAAATGTCCTTTGCTGGTTGAGTAAAAAACACAGAAAAGCCTTTAAGAAATAAAATAAAAATAAATCGGACCTGAATAATACCTGCAGAATATGTATCACTGCATATGGATTTTAGGAAGGCTAATCCAATGGTTGTCCCCTCAAAGTCGTAGCCTCTGTAAGGAAGAAGAAAGGCAAAGTGAAACGCAGTGATGTGAGCAGGGCGCAGATCTGAAGCCAGGTCTGCTTTCTTAACCAGGCTGAGGGCTTTAAGCATATATTCTTTTCCAGCTCTGTTTTGCATCCCTGATTTAATACGCTATTTGAGGACGTGCAAATCAGAAAACAATTGAATACACTTTTCATTTTAAATTTTTGCTTAAATGACGTTGCTGTTCATCAGACTTCAAGCATCTGTTTGAGTGTCAAGGGCTTGATGAAGTGCTCCAAATGTAGCAAAGTGCTTGGATGAATCAGGGCCATTGAACATGAGCCAGAACAGCGAAGTGAGTGCCGGTTTGGTTTGGCAACGTGCATTTCCCAGCTGTTAAACTTCACGTCATGGCTCCTTAGGTTGTTAGTCTGTGCCGCAGTCTTCAGGACACTCAACTGTTCTGTGACCAGAGCAGGGAAAAGGAGAGACTGGGATGTAGGAAAAGTCCATATTGCCTGTTTTTGCAGGGATTCAGACAGAAAGATGAGATACTGTGTCCTAGCAGGTAATCGTGCTCCATGAAGAAAATAAAAGCAAGAAATAAGAGCACACATTTATCTTTTTGTCCTAGAATTAGTACAGTCCGGTATGGGAAAGCATGAAATCTGGTTCAATATAGACAGCGTCTCTGGTGGGTTGGTGACCAATTTTTAAAGAACAAATTCCTTCAACATCCTTGGAAAAGCAAATAGGAAACAGAATGATACACACGTGATTAGCTGAGCGTTGTCATTTCTTTTCCTCTTCAGTAAATCTGATAGGCGCCACTTGGAGAAACTGTCCAGAGTGAATCCTGCAGCGTGACTCAGGAGGCATTTATCATTATCCGTCCAGATTTCTAGGCCAATTAAAGCCACGTAGATATTCACGGCCTTATAAACCTGCAGCAGAGAAACAGCGTTGCTGTAAAAATGAAGTACGTTATGAAGACTTCTGAAACAAACGCTTATCCTGGTAATTGGTTCGCTTTTGTCTCTTGCAGTCCACTCCAGACCTGACTGAAGTTTTTCCACACTTTGAAGTTGCAACAAAAAATTAAAAAGTCACAAAACATGAAATCTTAGTTTCCCCCACATTTAAACCAGCTATAAAAATGGTTTTAAAATACTTGAAAATTCCAGCAATATTTTGGAAGAAATTTGACTTGCAAAAGAAGTCAAGAATCGAAAATCAGTTCATTCCTTTTGAAGGATTTCAATTGTTCGCTTTAACAGCTGTTAAGGTATAAATCTTTCTTTAACAATAATTGAATTTATAGGAATCTCGTATCTGAGGACAAAGAACAGGCTAACGTGGACAGATGTGTTAAATTTGTCTTATAAATTACAATTGCCATTCCGTCCTACATGCAGTAATGAAAATTCATGATGTTTGCAAAAGAAAAAAAATGATAAATAACTTCTGTTTCAATTTCAGTTTGCTGTATTTACTCTTACCGTGTTGATGAAATTGACTATTCCAAATATCCTTTGTCTTACGATTTTAACATCTTGCTCGTACTTCTTGTACTAAAAATGTAAACGTAGTACGTTAGGAAAAGGAGAAGAAAAAAGTGATTTATCAGAAAATAAAAATCCCACAGAAGATTGCACTGCAGACCACACCATACTTGGCCTACTTACTATCTTTTCAAGGTACTGTTTCAGCAGACAATGTATTTCAAGATCAGGCTCTTCTAAAATGTGTATCTATGTGTAGGGTGCAGAAAATGGCAGGCACTGCACCGTGTTTTCTGAATTCTCGTCATCTACAGGTGGGATTTTCAAAAGCAATCGACATTAGGAAATCCTATTCCTAGCCGAAGCCAGTGGTAAAACATAGCGTAGACTGTAATTGTAGTAGGAGCCCAGGGATATGAGTAGTACCTGCTTCGGAAAGCTCACCTCTAGCTGGTCAAATGAGAAAAAAAATCATTTCAGTACTCACCAAAGCATTGTCTGCAACTATGTAAACTTCCAGATACTTTTTTGCTTTCAGGTATGCCTTCATCTAGAGAAAAGATGCATTTAAATGACTTCTGAGGCCTGGTTTAGTCTTAACGTTTGCAATTTCAAACCTATCTATTAGTTACGAGGGTATTTCTTTGGCCAAGTCATCTAGAATGGGACTGCCTTGTTTTAAAATGATGAAAGGTAGGCTAGATATTAAAATGATTATTAAAATGATGAAAGGTAGGCTAGATATTAAGTATTTAGATGTTTAAAGATGCACATGGGCACCTGTTAGTACATGCAGGACAGCTTAACTCGGGTGGTGACTCTGAAATCTCAGGTCTGTGCGATTTTTGCACTGTTTTCTAAGATCTGATTATGCTTCACTGTTGGCGATCGCTTCTTTTCTGGAGCTGCCCCCAGACAAAGTGGGACTTATGCTACTCACAGAGTTCTCCTACGGCCTCAATTTCTTTTCTGACACGTACTTACTGGGCTGTTGTTCAAGTACGGACTTACTTCTGGACTGTTGCTGGATTTGAAGATGCCATTGATGGGGTTGTTCAAATCCGATTCCCAGGTATTATTGAGTACACCACAGGTTTTTATGGACTTTTGTTCCAGTTTCTCATACTTATAGACCGCATGTTCATCTCCATCTGAAGTTCCCAAGGGTTCAATAAGGTACTTCTGACCACGGGTCTCAAAATACCCACTAAGAAAATTAGTTAGACTGTGATCTTTTGAATCCGCAGGTCTGAGTCAAGATAGCAACATTATCTCTAACAGCATTTAGCCCAGGCATACGAACCATTGCACACACTGATGCAACGGAAGAGTTTGTCAGCGTGCAGGCAGAGTGTACAGCAATTTAAAGGCAGAAATCAAAGCTGCTGAGACAATTGGAAGATCTGGCTGGTCAGGTGAGGTCTCTGAGTAGGAGACTGTCAGTCAAAAAGAAACTGGTTTAGGAATTAATTAGCTCTAAATTTGGGGGTTCTGTGCTAACAAAGGTGATTGAAAAGTGAATTTCGGTTCAGTGGGGAATTCAAAGATATGTTTTCATCTTTAATTGAGATGAAAAGCTGAAATATTGAAAGGAATTAAGAGTTTTGAATCATATCGGGCAGCAAATGTCAAAATAAGCATTCTGTGTTAACATGTAAACTCACAAGCTGCGCAAGAAGTGTTCACAAAGGAAGTCTGCGTTTTGGCAAAACCCCGCTAACCACTGGGAAAACGTTCTGCTGCAGCTTCTCAGACTTAACAGTCATCCTCTTGCCATTTTATGTTATGCCGCTGTGTCTTCAGTGATCACAAAGGAGCAGATCCTTTTAACTGAACCTTTCATGCAACAGCTTGAACCTTCTGACCTGCAACTGCTGTAGCACTGCAAATAATGTAGCTTTGTCCTGAAGCGTCAGCAGAGCTTCCTTCAGCTTAGAAGCATCCACCCTACACATTTACTGTAAGCACCACCAAATGCTATGATTTACGACCTGGTGTAATATGGAATTAGTCATGTAAATTTATTGATGTAGTTGTTCCTTTAGCTTTCAGTTTATAAACTCTGAAGTAGAAAGGTAGCTTTTTTTCCTCCGTTCTCCCCCCCCCCCCTTTTTTTTGTAAACTAGTTTACTGATAAGCATGAATAAAAGATAACACCACTTATTTACATCCTGATTCTATTTAAATTGGAAAATGCATCCTCAAAGAGTACGCATATTCTGCCCTTTGGGAACCAAACCTCTGTCTTACCTTAAACCTTTGCAAGCACTGATGCTTGCTGTGGAATCAGCATCATTCTGAACGTAACCTTCATAATAACAGTGATCCTGTTTAGAAAGAAAAAAGCCATTGCCAAATGTATCAACGTACCATGTCTCACTCGCTGCAATGAATCGGCCTAGATCTGGTGATTTCAGGAGACATAGCTACGTTTCTGGCTACAAGCTACAACAAACTATGCTGTCTGAGGAAATCTCCCATTAGAGGGGATTCTTAAAATGAAAAAAGCTGGTGACCATGTCCATGTTTGCTACGGTACTGTTATTGTTATCCTTCAACACAGAGTGACCCAAACTGTGATAAATCCAATCATGGTGTGCTCTGGTCAATACACAACAGTGCATGAAAATAAGAATATGCACATTCACCGCTCAGAATTAAGCATATACTGATGTGCTCTGCTGAAATAAGGTCCATACCAAATAATCTTTTTGTGGCCAAATTTCAGGGAAACACCCTTTAATATTAACCCAACAATTAAATGTTTTAACTTCAATGAGATTAAAATGCATGTATTATATTAAAACATGTGATTAGGGGAAAAATTTTCATGACTTAATTGACTTAGGGATCTGAGGTCTAATGAACACTTCTGTGTTCAAAGAGACTTCAAAGTCACAGAGGTATTGTGGAAAAATTTACCCATAGGATTTTCCTTAATAGATTTCTTGAGGCCTGTAACAGTATTCAAACCTGTATGCTTTGTGCCTTTTCTCAGGATGTTTGGTTTTACTTTACCGTTTATTTGTCTTCCTTCCATCACAAAGTGCCAACTTTCTTTCAGTGAAAAAGACAACCAACAAAGTGAAAATTACTAGAGAGAGAAGTGCAGAATTGCTCTCCATCTTTTGAGGGTACGAGAGAAAACAACTCCTGAGATGGTAATGAAGTATCCACAACGTAGGAATTGCTTACTCGGCAAGCTGCATAGGTTGGCCTGTTTGAGATTGTCTTTAACCAGGCGTGGGTGCTATTTGCTTTTCACAGGATCCATTCAGGGAGTGAAAGTAATCGGAGCAATCAGAAATGGCATCTTTTTCCACAAAAAAACCAACCCAGAATTCTTGATGCACATTTATTTCACTCATGATCCTCCTGTTCCCAGCTAATCACTCCATGACAAAGAATATTAGGCTTTGTATTCCAAATTACATGTGTTAAAACACATAGCACGACATTGGACAAAAAGCTTCAGAGGAGAGCTTTGTTGATGGTAAGACCCATGAGCACACAGTTAATTAAAACCTGACTTCTACAGTGACTTCCTTTTTGTCTGGATCTGAATAACTGATTTGTCATGGCTCAGAGAAACCACCTGGGGTAACCTGCAGTGCGTTTGCTGTGAGCGTGGGTGGTAACGTGAGCCGTGAGGAAATTTGTCTTTATCTGAATCTCTGATCTCACTGAGATTAGGGTGTAAAAGCAAGTCAGGGAGTTCTGCAGAATGAGCAAAGTCAGGAGGTAGAAGGCAGTGGAATGACCCTGCCTCCACTCCCTTTCCTGACAAAAGAGAGAAATTCAGCTCAGGTAGCGTGCTCATCAGCCACTACAGTGAAAAGCGGTCGCCTTTTTGAAAGAGGAACTGTGTCTGATTCTCAAGAGGTGTAAATCGGTGTAGCACTGCCAAAGTCACGAGTCACACCTTCCCTGTCCCTTCAGAGGCATCCTAAATTACGGTGCTTAGAACCTTGATTTAAAATCTTTTCTTTCTGTCTGATATGTGCTATTATTTCATGGACACATGAATCCTATACGGAGCTCCTCCAGACTGCAAGTGTGAGGGAAGGAAACCTTTTTTCATTACCTTGATCTCAGGACTTGTTGTTATTTGTCGGCCGTCATCAGAATAAATCGTTTCGGTATAGTTTCTAGCTAATAGGTACCTGCAAAGAGTCAAGTGCAATTATTATTCAAAATAAATTGTAGTCATCTAGAAATGAGGCAATCTCATAACATGCAAGTATCTAGGGAATTCAAATGATTACTCAGTTTATTATTAGTATTGAAAAACTAGGAAGCAAAGCTGCTGGGTGGGGAATTCTGCCTGTTCCTAGTCCTTACTCAAACAAAGGGACATTTCTAAAATAAGAAAGCAATTAAAGTCTACTTGTTTCATTGGTATGAAGTAATCTCTTAGTAGATCTGAAAGTAAATGTATAACTACATATGCAGTATTGATCCTTTTTTGGCCTCCAGTTTGTGTAGACATTTCCACCGCTCCACAGTGCGTGTGACATGGTACCGTTCTGTTCCCTTCCCGGTTCTCCCCCGCTGATGATAAACAGCAAAGATCTAGTTCAGTGGAAAAGCTGCCTTAATCTGTTTCACACGTGCCCATGCGTACCTGTGCGTGCACGTGTGCACACACTCGATCCCGTGCACAGATCACACTAACGGATGTTTGTCCAATTCTTGTGCTCACAGCTTTTTTATGACTTTGCTAGCGCAAGTTCTCATCTTTGTAATCACTATATCTAAACCTGTTCTTTCTTTTCTGTCTACGTAAAACTCTATTTTTGGACACACACTTGTTCCTGAACCTTCAAAGGAGGATGTCATGACTGTGGAATAAATTACTGTATTTCTTCCACCACTGGGAAAGGTGCCTTTGGGTTTCTTACTAGCATACACATTTGTGATTTGCTGCGGAAGGCCAGATCCTGCAAGGCTCTGTGCCCTCAGGCTCCTGTGCAGCAGAGCGCTAAGCAGATGCTTAACTTTAAGCCAGGGCTGTAGTCTTACTAAAGCTAGCAGCAAGGCGAGCGTACGCTCGCTTCTGTTTGGGCAACTACCCCAAACTGCCACAGTCCCATTTCTTTTGAAAGAGTGGGATTTAGTACAATATCGTTTCCATTCCACCCCTCCAAATATTTAGACTAGATTAAAACGGGGGAAAACAGTTAATTATAGCATACATTAAACATGAACTGATTATAGTACTATTGTATTTACACAGCCATTAGCAAAGTACCTATTAAAGCAGACTTGTTTGATCCCATGTTAAATATTATGGTGGAGCCAGCAAGAAGAAAATCACAGCTGTGCTGTATTTTGTGTTGCTCTGTACAGTTTTGGACTTTTCTTTGTACGCTTTGTTCTGTAACAAAGCCCGCTGCTTGTCTGTACCCTCTGCATGGCCTGTTTAAATGCTGCTAATCTCTTCAGCCAAGGCGAGCTCTCCTTGCTTTCAATTTCCATAAAGCAGTTTGTTAGTGCCGGTATATATTAGACTACTCAAAAGGCCAACAGCAGTAGTATTAAGGTAGGGAGTGCTGGAAGCCAAATTATTAAGGATTATTGTATTTCTTATTACTGTTTTCCATTTTTGAAAAGCATACAGAGCTGAGACAGTCCCATTTAATGGATATTTCCCTCGTTCTTCTCTGTAGTTTCTGCCAGCATAGAGCAAATAAATATAACCCATAGACTATCCACGGACACAGAGAACTTGTGAAATAATATGAAAACATTAAACATTCAGTGGATTTAGCCATTTAGGAAATAAATGGGAGAACAGAGTTAGCAGTATAGGGAAGTCAGTCCATCATGGTAGTGTCATATGCCTGTGTAGTTATTTCACATTACCAAACTAGTGACATGATGCTTTCTCTCCCCTCCTCTTCTTTCACTGGAGTTGAAAGGTTGCATTTACCATAATACCCCATCTTACAGGAGCCGAAGTCCTGGGTCTTTTATCCTGAATGCCCTCCAGAGCCATTTACAGTGAGGAATAATGCTCAAGGAAAAAGTTGAACTGAACCTACTTATTTTTTTGGAGGTGCAATATGACTTCCTCTCCGTTGGCTTTGATTCCATACTCCATTGTGTCATCGTATTTTGTCTGTAAACAGATGTAAGTGTTAGAATATGGACTGTTATAGTTCCTGGCCTCACTACGAGCTGCCTGCTACTGAGTTGCCAACTGCATTCTTTTCTTCCTTTTCCCACCAAAAATAAGTATTCTGACAGTTACAGAATAAGCAGAAGGTCACTCTGTTTCATATTTTTTAATTAGAGGAACAAATTAAATTTTTGCAAATGTATTTCTAGAATCACAAGCACATACCCTGCATATTCAGGAAAGTGCTGAAGTGGATGCTTAAATTCAAACATTTTTATAACTCTCTTGAAGTATGTAAGAGCATGCTTAGTTTTAAGCGTTTGATTTAATTTACTTCAAATTAAAATGTCTATACGTTATTCAAAATCTGAGTAGTATCAAAACCTACATCTCTGCAGAGATACAAGTACAGAAGACCCACTGATGGCATACAGGAACTTCACTGCATACTGAGCACAACTCGCAGTCTGTCTTTACCAGACATGGAATTACTGTTCCAGGTTTTCTCTTCCATTTCATTTTGCAAGATCAATTTCTGGCTCCAGATTCTCTTACACTTGAAACCCAAGGGTACTCTGACTCCAGAAAACCTTCCCCACCTCCCAGCAAAAAACCCGTTATCTCTTTTAATACCTCTTTGTTTCTTTCTACGTCTCTTTTATGTACTGTGTGCAATTTCCGTGGATAAACTATTTCATATTGCTCAACTCCAGGTAATTTCTTGCTCGTGCTCCCTAGGGAGAAACAGATGTATATTTATGAAAACACAGTATTAACTTATTAAACACCGTATTTCATGTCTGTCAAGACTGATTCTTTTGGGCTGTACAGTCAGTGATCTGTTGCACCACTTGTTTCTCACGGATGCTCTGCACTGTGCACATGTGCTCACCTGCTCTGCGAAGCAGTCACCCCCGTTGTGTGACCTAACGCCGGGTTTGTCCCAGGCTGGATTTCAGATGAGCTGACATACCTGCCTATTTCCAGGTGTCAAAATATTTTATGCAGTTCACTTTGGATTTCTTTCCCCAGCACCAATCAGTGGTTTCGAGTACCAACATGCTAGACCAGCTACGCAAGGTGCAACCTTTGCCTTCACATTTTGCAAACGACGTGAATTAAGTTATACGGTTCTGTGAAACTAGTGACCTCCAAACCTTACCACATGATGGCAGACAATTTAAGACTGCCTCTAGATAAGCAAATAAACTCATGCAGTTCACCACAAGTCTGGAACAAGCCTAGATTTCTGCTTTGGAAAGCTTTTCAGCTGGTCTTCCACATAAATGCTTGCGACGGTACTTTAATGACACACTCTACCTGTTAAATCAGATTGAGGGTGGTTACATACTTGTGACAGCAGAAGGACTGGAGAAGGCATTTGAGCCAAAGCTAGGTAAAATAATAGGAGATAGGCAGTAAAGTAGGAAAATCTTGAAGGTGGTAAGGAATTCAGATGATTCCTTGACTCGCATAACCCTTTTTCCTGGTCTTACTTGTAAGGTGTGTTGTGTGTCTGCAGTGGCTACAAAGAACTTTTGAAGAAATACAGTGCTGATGAAAAGTGTTTCTTTTTGTTTTCTGCTTCTGAGCCTGGGTGAATCTTGACAAAAGTTAATTTATGGCATAACTTTGCAGGGCTGGTCAGTGCACGTTGCATCATTTGAAGTTAATAATAGCAGCTGGTGTACAACATTTGGGAAAACAGGGTCGTATGAGGGATGTGTTAGTTTCCAGCAAGTCAACAGCATGGTTTATATGCCTCCTAAGCTCTTTAATCTCCTACAAAAGGTCATTTCGTCTGAATTGGCAAATTCTGGAGGGCTCAGCACCAAGCACAAGAGCCTGTATTTGAAAAAAAAAAAAGAAAAAAACCCAAACAAAAACCAAACCCCAAACCACAAACAACAAAGGGAGAGTCCAACTCCCATTTTAATTATCTGCCTCAAGGCCAGATTTTTACAAGAGTGGGGCATCCAATTACTGTAATTTTCTATATCTGGAATGACAGAGCACATCCTCATGCAAATTGTTCCAGTAAAATAAACAGATTAATTCTTCATAACTGGTTTATTTCATTAACCCTTTCCAAAAATAATTGCAAAATAAACTTGGTTGCATCCTGACAAAGCTGAGTGCTGTAGAAAAAGGTGAGATGGCATAATGGTAGTAAGTCCTAAGAAGTTATCTTACACCAGCTGAGCCATTACACAGTACACAGTAACTATCCAGGCACATGCTTGTTAGCAAATACCGCGTTCAAGTTTGTTACTGTAATTTACAATGATGTTTTGTATTTTATTTTAAGCAACTAATTATGTTTACTTTTAAAAAATCTTTTGCTTTGCAGACTTAGTCTTTCCATGAGTTTAAAGTATGTTCTTACGTAATGATCACAGCAATATTTTAGGTGTCTCGGAACAGATTTCTGTGCTCCAATTTTATTTATCCACTCCCTGTTGCAGACTCTTTTTACAAGGCCAACTGTAGCCCAGATGGTTCAAGTTTAGGCTAGATTTGAATGGAGATTCAGACCTAAAGTTATCCTTTTCCTGCAGTGTGATACAAACAGCATTTCGAGGAAAACGGGTTGGTTTTGTTCTGGAACAAGTAGTTTCTTAGAGGTAGCTTTTTTAATCAAGTCAGTATATTGTCTTTGTCTTGCTTCAGGCATTGTCTTGAGTCAGTAGCTTTAAGGAGGAAAGAAATTCCTTGGGCAACAGCTAGAAAAAGTGCTAATAGGGAACAAATAATTATGTTCTTTTCCAAGAGCCTAAACCAGGAAGAAAAATCATCAGTGAGGATTTCATGGACAATGAAGGTTTGGTTTTGTCAAGAAACAAAATAAATTAAACACCTTAAGCATTAGTACTGTACACAGTTGCAGATATTCTGTGCAACTAATGAAATCATAAAGATACCTGCCTGAATGCAAATTACATGTCTAATTAGGTATATAAAACCTGTGCATGCTAAGCTCTGAAAAAATCTGTTCCCTGTTGACATGAATTGAAAGAAACAATGCACATGGAAAAAAAAAAAAGTGTGGTCTGTTAAGGTTAAGTCATATGAATACTCCTAACCTGAAGTATCACACAGATAATAAGGGTGCTAACTTTTAATTCAGGTAATGTCATTAACTGAATCTGAATAAAAGTCTTTTCTTTTACAGCCAAAATGCTGTCAGTGTAATAAGTTGTCCCAACTGGATAAATTGTCCGCTCACTTGCAGGGGAAGTATTTTCTTAATTGGCTCACAAAACTAACCAGTTCTGGGTCTTTAGGCAATCTATGGGCATTTTTCACCCAAGTAAATAATTCTCTAACTAGAGAATTTTAGATAAGTGCTTTGAACAGAAAGAGGAAAAAAGCAACCATCCCAATCTTCAGCGATCCCATTCTTTTCAATGGCTTTAATTCACTGTTCTTCAGTATTACCTACATGTTAATAATTAAAAAATCATAAAAGCTGTACAAAGTTATCCATAGCGACCACTGATAAAGGATTAAAAAAAAGCACTGTACCTTGTTGGAGAAAATGTAGCAAAACAGCAGAAACGAGAAGTATATTAGTCATCTCGGTCGCACTTGTCTAGCAGTCGTCTCCGTGGTCGGGGCAAGTTGGGTTCCCAGGCTGCCTCTGCTATGAGCAGGCGTCTCCTGTGCAGTGAATGAGAGGGAGCGAGTTGTTCAGCTTTTTTCTTGTTCCTATATGAGGAAGTGTTTACTAAAGGTGTTGCACAATTTTCAAGTCACAGAGTGTTCAGCAAGCGGAAGTTTGGGCTGGTTAGTTAATGTCACACGAATTGTGATATATTGATTACTTTTTTGAAATAGGTTCCCTGAAAATGTTCATCGGGAAAAATAGAAATAAAATAAAGAGGGAGATTGGACTGCTCCTAATGTTGTCTTTTTATCGTCTGGCTGGTAAAAAGCTACAATAGAAACAGTAGGTACAACCGGTGGCTCGAGGAATGGGAGTTTGCAAGAGGTAAGTTTAAGGTAAGACAGGTACTCGCGGCAGGCGTTAAATATGTTTCAGTTCTTGCTGATTACCATTTAATCTGTACAGAAGGGCAGGGTTTGAAGCAGCAGTAAAGGTATGTCTAGTTATACATTGGTGAATCATATCTGGCCTATAAATACTGAGTAGGTTGCTTTCTGCCCCTTCCATCTATATTAGTAATGTTTGCTTGAGGTTCACGTGATAATGTCATAATAAAAGGGGCTGCAGACAAATGAGCAATCAAGGTGATATCTGCTGAATAATATTCTGAAAATCTATGCTAGAAGCTTATCATTGACTTAGCCTGTTGTAATAAAATAATACTATGTGCTTGTTGGAGCCACAGCTATCAATATAGAACCACGTTATAGAAGTTATATGTTAGAATAGATATTACAGAGTACGTAGAACTAGAATGGGTTGTGCTGTATACTGCAGTATATGAATATAAATTTATAGTAGCAATACACATTACACAGTAATATATATAGTAATGTATTACATTCATTTATAAATAAATAATCTATATAAATCTACAGAATTTTTACTGCCATAACTAACAAAAGTTTACACTTCTAATCTAAGTTTTATTGGATAACTATTTCTATCTCAAGTCTCAGGTATGCGTTGAAGACTTCTGATTTTTTGAACGTTGAAAGCTAAAATTGTAAATACAAACTTTCCCCTTAAAGTTTGCTAAATCTCCAGACATTCTGGGACAGATTGGGAGGTACCAACAAATGGGCTCTGAGCTTTCGTTAAGGCTAGAACCGTACTAATTGACAACAACTTACGTGCGATGCTGATTGCAATAGTCACCTTTGGTGTAGAACTGGTAATGTAATAGTTAAAACTTGATTCAGAATCGAGATGAGCCTGGCTGTGTGTGTGTCTTTGTTTAGCCATTTACAGTGAGGCAAAGTGATTTTGAAATGGATGTCAAACGCTGCTGAACAGAAGCAGGAGAGCTTCACGTGCCTTTGCATTGCTTTGCAGTGGTGTAGGTGGTGGCGGCTGAGGGCGGAATATCTTCCTGTCACCCCCGTGAGAGCAGCACACGCCGAGCGTGTTGCTTCGGCTTCAGTCGCTCCGAGAGATGCTGGGCTGGATGCACGCACAAACCCTACGTGCAGCTTTTCTTGCCATTTAGCTCGTGGGTCTTCCTTCAGCATTTGTGTTTTATGAATCATTTATGCTGGTTTGTTGAAGAGTATGCTCTGCTTTGGCAGAAGCAGGATATTTTTACAGGGGTATGGAAGTGTAAAATCCTCCTTCACAGGAGTAAGTGTAGACCAGACACATTGTCTGGCCTCCAGGCCTGCTCCAAGATGTGCTAGTGCAAACACTGTGTCCTTCATGAGTGAGGTTGGGTTTGAAAGGTCTCTGCAAGTGTTTGAGAGCCCCTGGAGCAGGATTTAGTGGCAGGAGGAGGGCCTGAGAGAGGAAAAGGGCCAGAGTCCTGGTAACTACCCTCAGACCTCCTCTCCGCTGTAGGACTGGAACCCAGGAGTTCTGGTGAGCTGCAGCAACGTTATCCTGACTTGGGTCGGTATTAATCTTCCACCTGCTGTTATAACAACAGGAATTTTAGCCAGCACTGTCCTCTGAGAAAGGACACCTTTCTAGATGGTCCTTCTGTCTCCGTGTGCCTTGGGAGCTGAGCCTTCCCAGGACAGAGCTGCAACCTGATGCTCCTGGGACAGGAATGCTTTTTGGTAGCAACTTCTTTGGGACATTATAGCTTGGAGATAGCACGAGCTTACTTTCTGTAAGAAAAGTCACATACCACACCAAGCCATGTCACCATCCCAGGTTATGAAAGAGCACTTCAGGCAAAGAATTCATGAAGCATAGTTGTGAAGGATTTGGACATACCCTTGTCAAGGTGTTCATTGCAGTTGCAGCAAGCATCAGAGAGGAGCTGTGGAATTCAACTTATGTCAGCATCTTTTTAGTTCTGTAAAGATAAAGCTTAGTCTAAAAGGTAGACAATTTAGTATTTTAAATGTTATGTGAATGGAAATAAGCGGTGCATTCTTGGACTACATCTTTGCCTTACAAAAATAATTAAGAAAAATAACTGTGAACAACTGGTTTTAAAAATGAGTGGCTGCTATCCAAGCATTTATCTCCGCTCATTCTCTCTGCGTGACGCACTTAAAAGCCATGTACTGACCCCACCAATCTCCTAAGCTAATGTTCTTAATAAGCTGTGCTTTCAAACAGAATGTAAAGGAGAGTTACTTTATGAATAGACACAACATCCCAACAAAGAGTTGGCATTAAGAAGGGAATGTGATGTGGTGAGGTCTTGGGTAGACTTGAAAGGGAATTGGATGTAATTTCCTTCTGTGAGCTGAGAAGCGTTTGATGTTTCTGCCCTTGCTTCAGCGATTCTGTAATGGTCTGATTGTAGCTGCTTCCCTCGGAGGTGGTCCAAGAGGTATCTGCGAGGTCTCAGCTGACAGGAAAGCGGCTTCGGACTTTTTGAAACCTCTTAACAATTGTGCAATGTCTAAGTGAGCAGTTTTCATACTTGGGGGAGGGGGGGGAGGGTGCGGGGAGTAAAATTGGATGACAAGTTTGTCTCAACATTTAATAACTATAACATTGGTATTTTTAACTTAAGTGCTATCTGCGTAATTAAAAGAAGGAAGCAGAAAAGGGTGAGATTCACCCCTACACTGAGAGCCTGCACAAATACTGCGCATGTGAGATTAAACGGAGTATTAAAAGCAAAATGATAGTTGTATGCTTGGGTGCCAGACTGAGCTCAGGAAAAATCAGAGTTCAGATCACTTCTGTGCTTCTGCCTTGTCCTGAAGTTCACTTTGAACCAGGTTTGCAAAGGTACTAATGCACCTAACAGGAATTTTCAGGAGTGTATAAACAACGTAGGTATCTGTTTCCCCTGCACTTCAACAGATACACTTTCAGCCACAGCAGTAAGGACACCCGTGTAACTACCACAAACAGAGATAAGCATTTGAGAGATACAATGTTCTACCATGCATCTCCATTCGTCCCCTTCTGCTTTCTCCCCATCTAACCCTGGGACAGCATCAGCAAACAGCTCGGCAGCTCTGCCTCTCGGTGTCCATGTCCTGTGCCTCCTGGGAGCATGTTCAGCTCAAATAGTAACCTGCCTTCCACCTTTCTCCATTTTCTTTTCCCCAAGCTTTAACCCAAGCCAGCCTGCAGGTTATTTTTCTCTGACATACAAACAAAACCATGTGGCTTTTGCATCTGCGTTCCAGCCCTACACTCCTGTTTGCTTCCTCCATCTATTCGCAGCTGCATTCCAGTCTCCCCGCAGCCTGCCTCTCCGTGCCAGCCCCAGGCCCTTCCCCTCCATTTCCAGAGCTGATCCAAAACCCATTGAAGTCAACAGAAGACCTTCTATTGCCTTCCAGGTTCCTTGGATCAGCTCTACAGTTCCTCTTTAAAACCTACTCTTTACATAGAGCTTTTTCTTGTGCCTGCCTCTGTTGTCTCACACATTCCCGAAGTGAGTTATCCTTCTTTTCCTCAGCTACCAGTCTTCAATGTTTTGTCCTTATTTTCTGGGTTTCTGTTGAAGGATATAATCAGATGGCTGCTTTAGACCTATTCAGAGTGTTTGGAAAAGTTACCTCCCTTCTAGCTACTAGTTACCTGCTCCTCAGCTTATGTGCAGCACTTGGCTATGTTTGTATTGCCAGGGTTTAATATAAAGTAAAATGCTTTCACCTAAACCGTGATTGAAACTAACTCAGTGAGCACTAGCCGAGTTACTTCTGGTATGGCTCTACTCGTATCACAGACTGTCATCTGATTCTGACTAATGAAACCTCTACAGATTTTTTACATCTCCGTCACCCTTTTTGCCTTGGAGAAGATCATAGACATATACGGTATGTTACAAGTATGTTGCTTCCTTCTTTCCTTCCCTTTTCTTCAAAATAGAGGACAAAAAAAATAGTTACTTCATCTTCCTTCTATATACTTCTTTGTTAGTTGCATTTTGCTTAATTCTCCTGCACCAGTGTAATGTACTATATACAGTAGCAATTTAATGCACGTTGTAGGTAGTCAACTGAAGATACAGGACCTTTCGATATATTTCTCAAGAACCACTAACTTCTCATAACTTCTTAACATGACTTAAGGTGATTTTCTGAAGGTTAATGCTCCTCAGAAAACACATGCAACCCCATTTTTGGCTGTGCTGCATGTTGTGCAATGCGTGCACGCTTACAAGCTGTTTAATGTTCTCCATCTGTACAGCATGGGTGACAATGCAGATCATTGTGAATCTTAATTCTGTGCTGTGGTCCTGGTTCCAAGGCGGTGTTTATTGTATTGTTTGTACCTGTAGTACGTGAGCTCTGGCTCAGTGTTGCCGCGGGGGAATCCTGCGTGCTACACGTGGTATCTAGCCCAGTTCCCTGCTGGCTGGCGTCCATCCAGGGCTCTCCTTGCTGTGCACAAAGGCGAAGCGCGGCTCAGCACTTAGAGCTGGGTTTTGGGAGGGAGGAGGCACCACCCGAGGCTGTGGGTAGACCTCCTCGGCTGTGTTAGAGCTGTGCAAG